TGGGGGCAAGGGGGATAGCTGGTACAGGTTACGGGAAATTTCATTTCACAATTTTACAGGAAATAAAAAGAAAAGTTCCATTTACTGTAAAAAATAAATAAATTTAAAAGCAAATTAATAATTACATTTTTATAATTTACTTGATAATTAGTGTTTAAGAATCAAAATTGGAAATTGCGTACAAATAACGACATTTAACATTGAAAATGCTTTATATGCTTACAAAAAATAAGATCTTTGTACAAATTACGGGCGAATAAAATAGCTGATTACATTTTACACCTTGTCCATGTCAGCAAATTTACGTTTTTTATTTATTTAAATTACATTACTACGAAAATAAAAACAATTGATTACAGATTACCCCTTGCTGAACCTCTATAAAGTTTAAATCAAGGTCAAGACATGTCAGAGATATTCAATTCTAAAATCAAAATGAGTGCATTAAGGTTCCAGTTTGAACAAAATCCATCAATGTACAGATGATTTCAAAATGGTAAAATTTCTTGATTTTTTATCACAAAAATTTTCAGTATTTGGCCATCTTGAATCGTATTGTAAATTGAATGAACATACACATGTAGAATGTATGTGTGAAGTTCAAATATGAATGTTTAGTGCATAATAAATCACATTTTTCGCTTACGAGGCATGCACTTTTTTAGGGCAAATATATATTGTTAAAGTATTTCATTGATATACTGAATTGCCAACAATGAAAGAACTAATACCTTCTTTGACAATGTGTACCACCATGCCTGTCAGCGCAGCATCTTCATTCAAATTCCAAAAATGCGGAACCACTTTCATCTGTTGTTGTTTATTTTGCTCAGCAAGTAGTTTTTCCTAATTTGAATAAAATAATCATCATTTCTCTAAAATAATAATGTGTATATTGTAATGATGTTTCCTTTAAAGGAAAATTGACAATCCTAGGGATTGCAATAAGATTTGAGTAATGAAGCACCAATTTCACCATTTTACACTATAAAGTTTTTCGTCAATTTGTTTTTATATTTCGATGCACGTATTCATTTTATTATAAATTGTCACATAGCTGAAAAAAAAATTGTTTAAATATAACTACATATTGATGACCAAATCTTACCAAAATATTGTTTCAAACACAATTGCATGGGCAGAGTGACCCTACACAAGGCTGAGTTACCATTTTGTTGAAATCAGTCATGTGGTGTGTGCAGCGGAAAACTATGACACACAATGTATTATACTCTCAAGATGGCAACATATTTGACATGTTGCCCAGGGCTCCAGTAAGTTGTCATATTGTATCGTAATCACTGAAGTTCGCTTGAAAATATTGAATTTCAATAGATGGCACCTTCGGGAGGCCATCGTTTTCACTAGTGAGTGGTTTAATTTCCAACATTCATATAGAACATATATGCTACGCTTTCAGTTTCCACATTTTGACAATAGCTGATGCAAAACAGAAAATGTTTTATTGAAAACAATATCACAGAAAAAAATCTTAATTGTGCTTTTTTCAAACATTCTGACAAAAAAACTGAAAAAACTTTTAAAACTATGACAAGAAAAAAATTAATATTTTTGGGGGGTCTAAGTGTTATCTAACAGTGTTGACTTTTTAAATTTGCATTCCCACAATTCTATGTAGAATATTGATTATTATTGTGACCACCATAAAAAAATTGGTTTGGAAAATTACTGAAATAATGGAGTACTGAAGCTAGTCTGCACTGAAGGTGTATTTTTATTGATGTAATCACTCAAGGCCACTTTACTTTCAAATTTGATTTGGGGATCACATCGGTATCCAAAAGTAGGTTTTTCTGCAGATCATACAAAGTGGGATGCAACTTTGAATAAAGACTTCTTACTTAAATTAAATTGTATGTTAACCTCATTGCAACTTTAATCTGCTGATGTTTGCTTAGACTGGCCCAGTTATCCTTTTATGTGATAGTTATGGAACAATTTTCTAGAATCTCTCGCGTTGATGTGAAATTTCCATAAATGGTCCGTTCTGCCGCACCCTCTATAGTTGTCACCGCGAACAATAAATAAAATGAATTTACTTCAGAATAGACTAGACATGGTAATTTTGTGTCAGATCAAGATTTAAAAAAAAATTATAAAATTGTCACAGCTAAGCCAGGCAAAAGTTTCCTTTTAAATTACACTATTTATTCTCAGATATATTAATCACATATCACAGTTTGATTGGGGATAACATTCAAGATTTTTCAGTTACTGTAAAATTTTCGCTTGGAATTAATTTTCGCTGAAGAGATGATTCAGTGAAAATAAAATCCAGATACCCGGTAATATACTTTTTTTCCTATATTTTACATTCAACTTGTCAAAGATCAGTGAAAATACATTCCATACAAAAACATCCAAAAAGTATTTTCAGCGAAAATTAATTCCAGCTAAAATAAAGTATTTTACAGTAACCTTAGAAGCCACCAAGACCACATAGAGAGTGATAGAGCCGCAAGACTTTTTTAGTGTTGTTTTCTCTTGTCTTCACGTCCACTGTTTCCCTGACTTATGTAACCATGGTAACATGAGAGAATGAAACATATTTGCAGTGCAAACAACAGTCTTGAAACTGTCACTCTCTTTACTACATCTGGGCGGTTATTTGTGTCTAAGATCTATTTATATATATATCAAGAAAATAGAAGACAAAGATCAGAGTGGTAACATGTATCCCACCATTCACATGAAGTACGGTAATGCAGTATTTGAAGTAATATTAAATATATTACACACCATGTTTGCTGCTTCCGTTTCAGCCAACCTTTGTTGCCATGACTTCTCCATATCCAGCATTTCTGATTTGTTTCTTTCTATCTGTTCTTGTAAAGCTTTTTTCATTTCCTCAAGACCTAAATGTAACAACTGAATAATCTCAGACTGATGTCAGTTCAATACCATGACTTTTAGCCATCTTATATTTATTTTTGTGCTAAATACAAATATATCGGGTATCTCAACCTTTGGTGGTTACCACATACTATGAAGTACTTTATTTTCACTTTGAATTTATTTTTTATTATTTATATTATTTCGCTGAAAGGATGAATATGTAGAAATAAAATTACTACTCTGGGTTATTTTTAATTACATTTAATAACTAATCAAATATCATTGAAAATAAACTTCATACAAAACAGCAAAACTGTGTTTTCAATGGAAAAGAATTCTAGCTAAAATAAAGTATTTTACAGTAGTGCAAATTTATTGTATCCAGAATTACCTCAAAAACGAATTCACACTTTCCTGATTCCTTGAAATTACAAATTTAGATTTTTCAATTTATTTAATAGTAATTTTTTTCACTTTTTTTCACACTTCTAGGATTTAAGTATTTTCCACTAATTATAATTGTACTAATAATAAATTATGCCATCAATACAATATTCATGCTGTAGCAAACAACAGATAGAGTTGATAAATACAAAGGCAGCTAGCCACTGATAAAAGATGCTTGTGAACCTGACTGAAACTGCCCATATTTGATAATGTCACACAAATGAAATGACGTGAACACATGTTATAGTGGTGCAACTCACTAATCTAGATTGCACTATGGAGTTCTGGGATACCATTGTCCAAGTTATTTACTCTAAATTATTCAAAGGACTGTTATTTAAAATTGGGATTTGAATCTAGTAAGAATACATAAGTTTACTTAAAGGTGTATATATAAGTAAACATTTGACCCACTCACCTACTCTGCAGTTTATTTATCTCAGTTATGATTTAAAGTAGCCAAGATAATGCCTCAGAAGCAATGGACACACATACGCACATATTTCTAATTAATATCCCTGCTTTAGGACAGTGGTGATAAACGTGATCACTGAAAATGTAAAGTTGAAAATGTAAACGTAAAGACCAAATTATACCTTCATCAGACGATCCAACATTTTGTGACGTAAGGGTACCACCAGATTTCAACTCTTGAAGTAATCTTAGATTTTCCTCTTTCAGCTCACGGATTAGTTTATCAGCAGGACTCTCATTAACAATAGCCTTTGTTTTAATAGATTTAGCTCTGTCAGCTGAAATAATATTTGTTATTAATGAGCGCATAACAAAAGATTAATGAAGTCAAACGAGTAGAGTATAGTTAAAATCGGTATAGTTAATTAAATCTAAAGTTTACTCTGCCATAGATAATCAAGCAATACAGGTGTCTTTCATGTTTGTTTTATTTGGCTAGTATGGGCAGGATCACACATACCGTATCTCAGAGTTGAAAGCGTTTCTTCATAATTTATATCAGCTGGACTGATGGCTGCAATCTGAATGTACAATATGTCATTATTATGGTCGAGACTGTACACATAATATTGTGATATATAATTCATATGTGGTACAACAAACTATGATACTAAAAGCATATATGTAACAGTCAGCAACTCTTACCATTATTGTTTTACTGTTGCCACCAAGTGCATTCTTCAATAATTTGGTCAAGACTGAGTCTCGATACGGCACTATGTATGAAAGGAAGAGCAATACATCAGTTAACACTATTTATAAGTTTTAGCATTGCATCAAAGAGTTGTCTTTGGATACTTGAAGCGATATGGGTTTTGTTATATGTACATAGAGGTTATACATATCAAAATGAGAAATAGAAATAAACTACTGATTAATGGCTTTGCTACCCATTGGCTAAAAGAGATCTTATACTTTACTGAGATCGATGTTGAAGTACTGACAGCATGGAACAGCAGGGGAAGAATATGAATGGTGGATTGGACTGCCAAGATAAAGGCATGGTGGGTTGGACTGCCAACTTATAGGCATGGTGGGTTGGACTGCCAACTTATAGGCATGGTGGGTTGGACTGCCAACTTATAGGCATGGTGGGTTGGACTGCCAACTTATAGGCATGGTGGGTTGACCTTCCAACTTATAGGCATGGTGGGTTGGACTACCAACTTGTAGGCATTGTGGGTTGGACTTCCAACTTATAAGAATGGTGGGTTGGACTGCCAACTTATAGGCATGGTGGGTTGGACTGCCAACTTATAGGCATGGTGGGTTGGACTTCCAACTTATAGGCATGGTGGGTTGGACTGCCAACTTATAGGCATGGTGGGTTGGACTGCCAACTTATAGGCATGGTGGGTTGGACTGCCAACTTATAGGCATGGTGGGTTGACCTTCCAACTTATAGGCATGGTGGGTTGGACTACCAACTTGTAGGCATTGTGGGTTGGACTTCCAACTTATAAGAATGGTGGGTTGGACTGCCAACTTATAGGCATGGTGGGTTGGACTGCCAACTTATAGGCATGGTGGGTTGGACTTCCAACTTATAGGCATGGTGGGTTGGACTGCCAACTAACAGACATGGTGGGGGTGAACTGCCAAATTACATGCATGGTGGGTTGGACTGCC